GGCTCCGTCCCCCGCCGTGCGGAGACTGCATCCCTGGGCATCTGCGGCGGGGAGAGGGGCCTGCGTGGGTGGCCCGGCACTGACCAGGGTGGCCTTGGATGCGTCTTGTCACCTAAGTGCAGTGAGCCCGACCCTGGTTGCTGCGCTAGGATCTGAGCCTGAGCGGTGTGCTGACCCGGCTCGACCTTCCACCTCCCTCACCTGGCCACGTGGACTCATGGCTGGAGCCGGCTGCCGTCACTGGGTCTGTCCCGTTCGGCTACCGAGCCCTGGTGGGGCCCGTGGCCTGRGGACTGGGTCACTGGCCTCCTTGCCATGATCCCTGCACGAGGATGCTGCTGATGCGGCCTCCCAGTCAAAGCAGGCCTGACTTCACAGTTAGGTCAGGGTCTTGTTGAGGCCAGTCTGGAAGATCTCCAAGGCTGGAGATCTGTACACATCACCTGGGCAGGCTCGTGGCAACAGCAGAAGGGGGAGTGCAGGCACTGACCAGACAGCAAAGCCAGAGAAAACGGTGATTCCCCTTCTTTCCATGTTGGATCTAGAGGCCATCTCAAGGCACTAGCTACCCCGGGGAATGATTCTCTCCACAGTGGATGCCACAACTCTTTGGGAGTCTCTAAAATCCAAGAATGGTTTCCTGAATGGAAACACAATGAATAGAGAAGGCAATTTCGTATATTTTGGTGTAAATCTGGGTTAGAACCATCTGCCAAACCAGGCACAGCAGAAAAGGATGGGGAAATGTAAAAGTGAGAAAAATTAGGTCATTTTGATTCCTTCCATGTTTCCTGTGGCGTGGGACACTGCCTGCGTGTGTGCACAAGGAGGCACTGTGGCCTCTTCTAGTCCCTGGCAGAGACAGACTTTCTCATGGGGAAGCCCTTGGGCTGTGTTTGTGGAAGGATCTGTGTTCTGGCAGAACATTCATTTCTGAACGGCTTGGTAATAGAGGTCTTCACTTYGCAATTTCATTTTAGGTTCTCCTCCTGAGCTACTTGTCAGCCTGTTTGATTAGAAGTTCATGAAGTGAATGTGAAGGTTTTGAAAGACTCGGTCTTTACAGAGGTAGAGGAAAGCAGCAGAGAGGTGATGTTCCTTGTCAAAACCAGCCAAGGACTGAGGAGGACACTGGCTGCAAGGTGCCAGAACCGCAGATGAGGCCTGTCCTTCAGGGCCTTTCTTCTACCACATCCCTGTTCTTCACCCTCTCCAATAAATCCTCCATCAGTTGAGCTGTGGAGACAGGGACAGCCCAAGAAGAAGCTCAAGTTTCTTTGAGCTGCCTTGATCCTGTGGCATCCAGARCGCATGAAGGTCCTTCAGACATCCCACATGGCTGGCAGTGAGGAACGCAACGAAAACCAGGATACACCTGGATGGGAGGTGTGTTGTTATGTGATTTATAAACCAATCTGGGAGAATCCATTTTAATAACCAGAATTGTTTTAATTCCTATCTTTTTCCTCAAATGCTGGCCTTCACTGCAAAAAAAGTCCTACCTCGGAGAAGAAGGTATCATAGCCTGATGTCAGAGTCTCATCTGTCTTGCCTTTTTGGAGGCAAGAAAGATGATGCAGGGTGGTTCTTACTCTGCCAAGTAGTGCAGCTGAATGGGGAAACCAAGTGACCTCCAGGTCTGGATTGTGACAGTTGAGAATGGTCATAGCTTATTTTTTTTTTCTTTTTTTAAGGAAATAAATCAAAATTTGGGGGAAGTGGTGGGTGTTTGGGGAAGCGCAAGAGAGATAAAACTCAGCAGTGAAAAAGAAAAATCTGCCTTAATTGGAGAAAATGAGAATGGCAGCGATCCCAGAAGATTTCAAGGTCTGCAGCAACCTAGGCGGATTAAACAGCTAGATTCTCAACCTCCTCAAAATTTAATTTCATGCTCAGTTTTGGGATAAAAAAAAAACCTCACAAACCTCCATTTGTTGCTTTCATGGAAAGTGTGTGGCTGGACATTTATTTGTATTTCTTTTTMAATAAAATTTTTGAGCTATTCTTGGAGCAAACCAACTAAAGGAACAACTTTCCGTACTGCTCTCCGGCACAAGGTGGCACACGTGCCCTTGGTTATAACGCCCAAATACCCCCCCAATAAATATGCACATTCAGAAACCCGGGAAAGGATAAGGAATTAGCAGTGAACACCACCTTTGACTTTACAAGGCACTTAAGAGTATGTTCATTCCCCTCTGCTACCTGTGGAACACAGATGAAAACATCGGAAGTGCCAGAAATCCAAATCCCGATAAAATCCAGGTTATTTGCCAGGATAAAATCTCTGGCGACGTTTCTGAGATCGGGAAACTTGCAGAAAACAYGGCCCATGTCAGGAAGGGCCCAGACGTGGCCAGGAGGGCAGGCTGAAGTTGCTCCCTCCGTGCGCCGCGCTGGGACGGCCGGAGCCCGCGCAGCTCTGCCTGCCTGTCCGTGCCGGGACGGGCACCGCGCACACGCGGGACACGCGGGGTGTCCGGGGGCCCT